AAAAAAGAAATGCTAGCTCTAATTCTTGTAGTTAAAAAACGGAGGCCATATTTATTGGGGAGAAAGTTTATTGTGCGGACGGATCAAAGAAGCCTTAAGTATTTTTGGGAGCAAAGAATTGTCACTACAAGACAAGAAAAGTGGCTAACAAAATTAATAGGGTTTGACTTTATCACTGAGTACAAAAGGGGTAAGGAGAATTATGTGGTTGATGCACTTTCTAGAAGATATGAAGATGGACGAGTTGAGTGCAATCATCGTACCAGTACCAACTTGGCTTGAGTAAATCAAAGAGGAGGTCCGTCATAGTGCCATCTTGTAGAGACTTGTGAAACTATGCTAGTAAAGAGAGGTCGTAGGTCCTTGGGAATTCAAAGAAGCTATTCTCTATTTTAAAAATAGAATATATCTTTTGACCGAGTCACCTTTAGTTTCCACCATTGTCGGGGAGGTGCGCTCTAGCACCCATGAAGGATATCATAAAACCTTGCGAGAGGATCAAGTCATTTTCTATTGACGGAACATGAGGAAATCCATTCTTGAATTCATACGAAATTGTGAAACTTGTCAAAGGCATAAATTTGACTCTAACGACCTCGTCGGTTACTTAAAGCCCCTCCTAATGCCAAATGAAGTTTGGGCTGATATATCCATGGATTTTATGGAAGGTGTTCCAGCTTTTAAAGGCAAGTTAGTGATTTTTGTGGTATTTGATAGGCTTTTTAAGTTTGCTCACTTTATACCTATCTCTCATCTATGTTCAGCAACTACTATAGCCCAAGTCTTTTTCAATCGGATTTTAAAATTGTATGGGATGCCTAAAAGCATTGTGTGTGATCGAGACCCTACTTTCATTAGTATTTTCCGGAAGGAACTCTTCAAGATGCGGGGAACTAGTTTCAACTTCAACTCGACTTACCATCCTCAAATTGATGGCCAAACCGAGATGGTAAATAAGACAATGAAGATATACCTACGATGTTTCGAAGTCATAGGCCAAGGAAGTGGACACGATGGATTGCTTGGGTTGAGTATTGTTACAATACTAATAATTCATTCTTCGATAAAGAAGACTCCTTATGAGATTATGTATGGCAAAGCTCCATCAACATTATTATCATATGTTCCGGGAACTTCACTTGTGAAATGCGTAGATGAAGAACTATGAAGTCGGGAACAACTTCTAAAGATGTTACGGGATCGATTAAACATGGCTCAGCGAGTGTATGAAAAAGTACTATGATGCCCATAGAGCCGATAGAAGCTTTGAAGTGGGAGATTCAGTTTTTCTTAAGTTATAACCATACGGATAAGCTTCATTGGCTCTTTGAAGAAATCTCAAATTAGCCCCTAAGTACTATGACCCATTTGAGATTATTAGAAAGGTAGGTGCGATGGCATACAAGCTTAAGTTACTCGAAAATTCTAAGCTACACCCCATGTTTCATGTCTCATTGCTCAAAAAGAAGCTGGGTAAAAAGGAAACAATTCAAGAATTTTTGCTAATGGTCCCGAAACGAGAGACACAATCAGCCTTTTACCTCAAGCTATTCCGGACCACTTGTTGGCGGAGACAAATGAAGCAAATTCTTGTGCATTGGCAAAGATTGTCATCGGTAGATGCAACGTGGGAAGATTATGATGAACTCCAGCTACGATTTCCTAAAGATACCCTCGGGGACAAGGGAGTTTTCTAGAGGGAAGGGATGTTATGTCCAAGAAGTCTAGCTCTTTGTTTCGTTAGTATTTCACAATAAATTAGGGACTTTGAATAAGTCTCACCAGTAGACTGTTAGGATTTGATTTTGTTCAAGCTATTTCATGTTTTTAGGATGGGTTCTCGATATTAGTAGGAGATTTTGTTGCTAGAGTTTAGGAATAAGTTGTTGAGTTTTGCTTATTTATTTGTAAGTTATCATGAGAAAAGTTAGAGTTGAATTAAGCATCTTGTTGTGCTAAGGAAGTATAGGTTTCCCTCGAAGTAAACCCAACCATTCTTTCTTTTCATACTATCTTTTACCAATACCTACATTGCTATTATTATCATATCCCCCGACTTTTTCCATTCACCATAGGTAAAAAGGTGAAAGACCAACCCAAATCAGCTTATATTCCACCTTTTGTCGGACCAACCACCGATCTATCACTGCTGAACGCAACAAGACCTCACCGACTCGCATGAAAAAAAAACAAGTAAAACTCTCTCCCCTATGTCCCTCTCCGTGGTAACTTATAAAGAGAAAATGTAGGCTTTAGCTTGGTTTTGTACTAGCAAAAGAGGAAGCAAAGCTCTTAGGTTTTTAGAACTTTATTGTTGTAAGTGTGCATGATAATATGGTATAAGTATTTTTACAAAATATATGGATTGAATCTTTATTTATATATATTTGTTCGTGTAAGTGTGCATGATAACGTATATGCACTAAAAGACTCCAAGCCAAAACCAAGCACATGATAATTCAACAATATGCCACTCAAATATTCATAAAACAGAATATGATAAACACCAATCAATTCACGAGTTATCAACAACCAAAAATAAGCATTCACAAGCAACACGAGTTCGAAAATTCAACAAAATCCAAAATATCGCAAGTAGGCCAAAATCCTAACTACCCTTGTGAATCAATTTTAAAATTTTGACCACTCCCAATTAAGACGCAAATGAAGTTATGGTATGAAATTTAAATCAATTTGACAATCCTAACCTCTTATTTAAGCTATAGCCGAAATTCATAAACAAATAAGCAAAAGAGTAGAATCTTAATTGTGTTGAATCAACCCTAAGCTTTCGATAATCAATACAATTCAAGCAAGTTTCAATTATCAATATAACAAAGCATAAATCAAGACCTAATTTTATAAATGTCAAAACTTACTTGGGATATCTACGCCGAAACTCATATACAAATACACCACTTTGTGAGCACAAATGATCAAAACATCATTTTAGTTATCACTTCAAGGATACGGGATAACACTTTTTGTATTACACATGGAACATAAGTTCTTCGAGAGAAAAATATCACACAAAAGTTTTCTTATTCAAATTTAACAAAAAAAAAACTCATTTTCCTATTACAAAACATGTTTAAATACTATTTATCTAAGATGGGCAACTACTTATTAAATAATAGAAAAAAATATAAAACCTTAAAATAAACCCTAATCTACTTAAGCTTAACAACGTAAACCTAATCCATATTTAACAAGGACTAATTGACCTAGTTTAAATTAAACACGAACTTCCTAAATAAATATGGACTCTTGTTTAATTATGGATCCATAAAAAATATTGACTTCTAATTAAATATAAATCCAAACCAAATTAATAAGAATTAAAATAAAGTCTAATTACAATTAAGGATCCTTGTGTCAAAGGGATAAATAAACAATCAAATAAAATAACTAAAAAGGACTTTAAACTTTCGATCCGCATAAATTATCTTGAAAATCTCGATTTTGAATCCATGTGTACACTCCTATGTCATACAATCCAAACTCATTGCCAACCGTATATATAAGTAGTTTTTATTAACTTTTTATGTTTAAAGTTTAAAATTTTATAGATTTATAATGGGGTTTTGAAAAAAAAAAAAAGATAATTAAGGATTTATCCAAGGATCAAATCAAAAATAGCCCTACTCTCTGTAGCCCATTTAATATGCCCCTACATTTGAATTCAGACCCTTGAATTGTAGCGTGACCTCTATCATGCAGGATATTGACTATCTTGAGTGCTAACTCCATAAAGTAAAAGGGTAAATTTTAATTTATCTACTTATAAAATCTTTGGTTTGTTGTAATTATACTTTATATCTTTTATTTTTGTTTTATTCAATATAAATTTCAATTTCATGTTCAAGATTTATGGATTATCTCAAAAGAAACCAAAATATAAGAACGAAAAGAAATTGAAAAAAATATATATATGTTTTTCAATAAAAAAACAAACATGATAAAAAAGTATTTTTTTCATCAATATTATTTAGCAATCTTTTGACAATACAATAATAAAAACAAGTTAAAATCAAATATAATAAAAATAGCTTGTAATAAAAAATATCAACCACCATTGTCGATGCATCTCGTACACTCTCTCACTATCATATTATATTTATACTTTTTATGAAATTTTTTCTTTAAAATCTTGAACCAAAATTATAAAAAAAATTATAAAAATTGAATTCCCATATAAATAGAAAGGTAGCTCAATTACAATATCATTTTGACATCATATGGAGTGTGATTATTTGTAGAGATCAAAAATGCTATTTGATGACAATGTCAAAAAAATAAGAAAATATGATAGTTTAAAGAAATTATAATGGTGAAGGTTTTGATAAAAAAAAAACAGAGAGAGAGTAAAATCAATCTGAACCTTAATTTTTATTTAACTATAGTATTGACAAATAAAAAAAATGACATGGATTGCTAAAAATGAGAATTGAAGTTGGTAGAATTTGATTTTCTTAAAATAAACCTCTTAAACCTCATCATATTTGTTTTAATTAAAAAATAAAATTTCTTTCATTTTCTATTTTTATTAGTTTTAATTATTATGATTATTTTTTTTTATTTTTAGATAATATTAAAATATTTCATAAACTTTAGAGATAAAAGTAAACTTTACATACGTGATAAAAATGAGCAGAGGGTCAAAATTGAAACAAAAGTGAAAGATGCTGGGGCTGACTGGAACAAAAATGAAAGATGTGGAAACTGATTAGAATAAAATAGAAGATTTGTGGTCTAATTAAAATAAATAAAACAAATTAGGTAAGATTGAGAAAAAAAAAAACAATAATCTCAGTGGACAAATTGAAATTTACCGAAAATAAAAGGACTTTCCAAAATCAAACGCAGTGTCGTTTATCTTTCCCAAAATGACGTCAATAACACTACAAATCTTTCTTCGTTTCTTCTTCTTCTTCTGCTTCCTTTATGGTCCAATAATTCTGCATTCCATGAGACGTCTAAATTATTTTCACTAGAACATCATGTATCAGTGGAGGAAATTCGAGTTCTTCGAGGAGAAATACGGAGGGAAGAGCGCCATTCCTGAGGATGTTACGGCAGGGAAGATCGAGTGCTGTTCCAGCGGGAGAGGGAAGGTGGTGATCGGCTGGGACGATGGCACTGTCAGCTTACTGGATCGTGGCCTCAAGTTCAATTTCTCTTTCCAATCTCACTCTTCCTCTGTCATCTTCCTCCAGCACCTTAAGGTTTTTTTTTCCCTTTCCCTTTTCTTTATTTTTCATGTTCAATCAATTTTTAAATTAAAACATTGAAAATAATTACAAAAGGAAAAAAGGAAATTTATCTGGCTCAGCTTGAAAGTTCAATTCTGGATTCTGAGCTTATTGAAGCTTCTAATTTAGGGCAATTGTTTAGGATGGAGAAAATGTAGGTAAAATACAACAAATTTCTAGTAATAGATATTCATGTTGCTATGCTTATAGTGAAACTAGATCATGATTTGAGTTTGATTTGAATTTTTTTTCCCCTTAATTTCTGGAATGAATCAGCAAAGGAACTTTTTGGTGACTGTTGGTGAGGATGAACAAATATCTCCGCAGCAATCTGCCATGTGCCTCAAAGTTTTTGATCTCGATAAGATGCAATCCGAAGGCACGAGTGCAACCACCCCTGATTGTATTGGAATATTGCGGATATTCACCAATCAATTTCCCGAAGCAAATGTATTTAGTTCCCTTCTTTCTTTTTCCGATACTTACCTTGCTTGCTGAGTATTCCTTGATTTTATTCCAAACAAAATTTGTATGCCGAAAGATTGACATAGTAATGAATTGTGGAAATTGCTGCAGATTACTGCATTCTTAGTACTAGAGGAAGCTCCTCCAATACTGCTCATAGCTATTGGTTTAGACAATGGTTGCATTTACTGTATCAAAGGGGATATTGCGAGGGAACGAATCACACGCTTCAAGCTCCAGGTGGATAATGTTTCCGATAAAAGTCATTCATCTATTACAGGTCTTGGATTCAGAGTGGATGGTCAAGCCCTTCAATTATTTGCTGTGACTCCAGATTCAGTGAGCTTGTTCAGCTTGCATAATCAACCACCCAGGAGGCAAACCTTGGATCAGATTGGATGTAATTTCAATAGTGTTACGATGAGTGATCGCTTGGTAAGGAGTCCGTGGATCCTTGTTTGTCTTCTTTCTTATTGCTTCAGCATTTGTATGTCATCTTGCTCTTTATGCTGCTTTGTTACCAGGAGTTAATAATTGGCCGACCTGAGGCTGTGTACTTTTATGAAGTTGATGGGCGTGGTCCTTGTTGGGCATTTGAGGGAGAGAAGAAATTCCTAGGGTGGTTTCGTGGCTATCTTTTATGTGTTATTGCAGACCAAAGGACTGGCAGAGATATTTTCAATGTTTATGACCTGAAGAACCGTTTAATAGCCCACAGTCTAGTGGTTAAAGAAGTTTCTCACATGCTGTGTGAATGGGGTAACATTATACTTATAATGACTGACAAATCAGCTTTGTGTATCGGGGAAAAGGATATGGAAAGCAAGTTAGACATGCTCTTCAAGAAAAATCTGTATACCGTGGCTATCAATCTCGTCCAGAGTCAGCAAGCTGATGCTGCTGCTACTGCCGAAGTTCTAAGGAAGTATGGAGATCATCTATATAGTAAACAAGATTATGATGAGGCCATGGCCCAGTACATCCACACTATTGGTCACCTTGAACCCTCGTACGTGATACAGAAGTTTCTGGATGCACAAAGAATATACAACCTTACGAATTACTTGGAAAAATTACACGAGAAGGGGCTTGCTTCTAAAGATCATACAACCTTGCTCTTGAACTGCTATACCAAATTGAAAGATGTTGAAAAGCTTAATGTATTTATTAAAAGTGAAGATGGTGCTGGAGAACATAAGTTTGATGTTGAGACTGCAATAAGGGTCTGCCGTGCTGCCAATTACCATGAGCATGCAATGTATGTTGCTAAGAAGGCTGGGAGGCATGAACTGTACTTGAAGATCTTACTTGAAGACCTTGGCAGATATGATGAAGCGTTGCAGTATATTTCAAGTCTTGAACCAAGTCAGGCTGGTGTGACTGTGAAGGAGTATGGTAAAATTCTCGTTGAGCACAAGCCAGTGGAGACAATTGAGATACTCATGAGACTTTGCACTGAGGATGGAGAATCGGCAAAGAGAGGATCCTCAAGTAGCATGTACTTAACTATGCTGCCATCTCCTGTTGATTTTCTCAACATTTTCATCCATCATCCGCAGTCTCTCATGGACTTTCTTGAAAAATATACGAACAAGGTGAAGGACTCCCCAGCACAAGTAGAAATCCACAATACACTCCTGGAATTATACCTGTCCAATGACTTGAACTTCCCATCAATCTCACAAGCTAGCAATGGTGTAGATCTCACTCTTAAAGCAAGATCTGGTTCATCTGCAATGCCCAAAGCAGAATTCAATTTAAAACCAAATGCTGATTGCAAAGATATATTTAAGGAAAGACACCGTATGGAAAGGTGTGAGAAGGGTCTACGCCTGCTTAAGAGTGCTTGGCCATCTGACCTGGAGCAGCCACTTTATGATGTTGATCTTGCCATCATTCTCTGTGAGATGAATGCATTTAAAGAAGGGCTTTTGTATCTCTATGAGAAGATGAAACTATATAAAGAGGTTGTTGCCTGCTACATGCAGTCCCAGGACCATGTGGGATTGATTGCATGCTGCAAAAGGCTGGGGGATTCTGGTAAGGGAGGAGACCCATCTCTTTGGGCAGATCTGCTGAACTATTTTGGTGAACTTGGAGAAGATTGCTCAAAGGAAGTGAAGGATGTCCTGACATACATTGAAAGGGACGACATCTTGCCTCCTATTGTTGTTCTTCAGACGCTATCCAGGAATCCATGCCTTACACTCTCTGTCATTAAGGATTATATTGCTCGGAAGCTTGAGCAGGAGTCGAAACTGATTGAAGAAGATCGACGAGCTATTGAGAAGTATCAGGTTTGTGCTTTGCTTCTTTTAAACTGTATTTCACTTTAATTCTGTCCTTGCACCAATTGCCAGTTAGTGGCCATGAACATTATTTGTCCTTGAAGAACTACTTTTGATTTTTGTTGCCGTCAATTAGTTTCACTCATAGACGCAGACTTGCATATTCGATGCCTCCTTAAATGATCGTTATGAAACTTTCTAACTTTCTCAGTTTGAAATTCTCCATGACGATGTAGAGAATCAAAGCTTTTCTTCTTTCCCCACCGTTAACCTTGGATGAGCGTAGATATTCGCTATCAATACTATTCTAAACTCTAAGTTGTTTATTTACCAAGGATATAAGAAACTATTTAATGAGTGCTTTGGTTATGCAGGAAGACACTTTGACAATGAGAAAAGAAATTCAGGATCTCAGGACAAATGCAAGAATATTTCAGCTCAGCAAGTGCACTGCTTGCACCTTCACCCTTGATCTTCCTGCTGTCCACTTTATGTGCATGCATTCATTTCATCAGCGTTGCCTTGGCGATAATGAAAAAGAATGCCCTGAGTGTGCTCCTGAGTATAGATCTGTTCTGGAAATGAAGAGAAGCCTGGAGCAGAATTCTAAAGATCAAGATCGATTTTTTCAGCAGGTGAAGAGTTCAAAGGATGGGTTTTCTGTGATTGCTGAGTATTTTGGAAAAGGGATCATTAGCAAAACCAGTAATGGATCCACAGGCACTGGCAGATCAGGTGGCACATCTTCCAGGAGTGACTTCTGAGGAGTTACAGTTGTTGGTCCAACTTTAAGCATTTCGCTCTTTCTCTCATTGGCTTGCAAGCCTCTGCCAAATGTTTTTTAGAAATCAGAGCGAGCAGGGTGACTGATTAATCACATGGCTCTGGCAACAATCTCTCCAGATTTTACATTACCCAAGGTTTGTATAATCCTTTTAAGTTTGCTGTCCAAGAAAGAGAAAAATCGAAGTTACTCTACTCAGGGCAAAAAACAATGATAGAAAAGGCCTGGTAGTATCATCTGCATGCTGGTTGGTGCTAAACTTTCTAACTTGGCATCTCCCTCAAAGTAACTTCAAATGATGATAAGATATGTTTAAACTAGGAGGAGGGTTTCCGTGCTAAATATTGCTTTGTTTCTTGAAGTGTGAAGTTTCAGCTAGTGTTTGTGGTTCCTAACCTTCTCCAAACAAAATTTTTTGGAAGTTTGTATTCTATGAAACCAATTCATTTTTCGAGTATGGTTTGTGAAGCATGCAATTGTGTTAAATTATGTATAGCTGGTGTTTTAGTGTATCAACTATCCATTTAAGTAGACCGGAAGAGCATAGAATTTCAGGTCATTGATGAAGTTGGCTGCCTTCTGTTTTATGCCCATAACCATCTTAAAGTTCCCATCCTTCCATTGTTGGTGATTGAGGTTCCTTTTACTTTTGAACTGTTCAGTATTTGAAAGCTGAATGGCAGAGATCGTGTCACAATCATACGAAAAGTGTGTGAAATGTTGGCCCATGAAAACTTATTGAGTATACTAGCGTGGTTTGGATTATAAATCAATTTGATTTGCTTGTCATATCTACTTGAAAGGATTGGCCTATGGAAGCTTATGGTTTTCTTTAATTTTATGGAGTAATTATTTAGGATAGCAATGTTAAATAGGGTCCTACAGCTTAACTCAAACTTTCTCACCTACTCCATTGTAAGAGTGTGTGTGTCTGTGGAATCTAAAATCATAAGAGGTAGCAGTCCCCAAGGGCTTTTATGATTGTTTGTCGAATAGAATTATTAGCTAGTCCAATCGAGGGTGGTGCTTAAATGATTCAGAATTTAAAAAAGTTTATTTTTTTTTCAATCAAAGCAGTTTCTTATTTTCTTTAACAGGCTCACATGTTTCAATCATCTAGCAAACTAGCATGTGGATACAAGGATGGATGGAAAACCTTCTTCTACTCCGACCGAAGTGTCATAGCTCAAAAGGACTTGCAGCTTGAATAAGTTGAAGCCTTTTAACTAATGCTTTGGATAATCTGCAAAAGAAGCGTGGCTTGTTTCACATTTTGGCAAGGTGAGGCTATATCATCCGAAGGACCGGATGCTTTCTTCATAAAAATACTATATTGCCAACTAGGGTTCAAATTCTTGAGGAGTGTATGTACGTAAATAATTTATCGTAAATATGCTATTTAATGACCTGCTGAAGAGGAAATTTAATTTTGATCATGGGAGGATGCGTTTGGGTTAAACAATTGATTAATAGGGTCCCTTTTTGGGTTTTTGAGCCCCAAAACAATGAAGAGGGTAGATCCACTCTTTGGTTGTTGGAGGCATTGTCAATGGATGCCATCCAAATAAGTTGACCAAAGGGTTTTATTTTCACTTAAGTTAGGGAAATGTTTAATGTAATAGCAACTACTAAATTTAAGGAAGAAGAAGAAAAGTAATTGATCAAAAAAATAGTAATGCTCGATAATGTATATCCATGGTAGTGTAGATGATGTGTCAATTATGGATGCCAATTAAATTTTGATATATATAATAAAATCAACAAATATTGTGCGCTGGAAATTATATTTATGATGCATAATCGTGTTCATTAAGAAAAAAAAATCAAAGAATTTTAAGAGTTAAAAAAATAAAAATTAAGGGGCTACTTGGTATCTCATTAGCAGTTTTAGTTTTCAATTTTTTAAAAAGGGAAAAAGATTTTTTGTTGTTGAAAAAATTAAGACTCATTTCGAAAGATATTTGTTTTGCTGAAAACCTTTTTCTTTGGCTTTAAAAAATTACGACAACTCTTTATCGTTTATATATATATATATATATATATTTGAAAAAAAATTCTATTTGTATTTTTAAAAAAATTTGAAAATGGAAATGCTAGCATATCAACTCTAAAGAAATGAGAGTGACTAGGAGAACGTTAGGGAAGTGGTCCTGGTCGAGGATGGCGATGGTGAAGATTAACACACGTGGAGCACATGGGCCTGTATGGTCGGCATTAACTACCGGTTTCGTCTTGGTTCATCTACTGTTCAACACTTTAATTTTTGTGGTTCAAAAATTTTTGGTCAATCATATTTAACTTTATTGATATTTATTTATTTTTTCAACAAAAAAAAGATTTATTTTTTTAACTTAAATTTTTCTGGGATGAACGGTTATGCTTGTTTCGAAACAATGCTAAATTAATTTTCACCGAACAGAAACCTTTTTTTTTTTTTTTTGTAAATTAGAACAACTTTATATATATATATATATATATATATATATATATATATATATATATATATATATATATATATAAAGGTTCATGTAATTAATTTTTTTTTCATTATAGTTATCATTGAAATATTAGATAGAAACCTACAAGGTTGGTGTAATAGTAAAAAAATATTTATTTTATTTCTTGATTTTTGAGTTCAAATTTTAGTCTCGGTACTCAAAAAATTATTAATTTTCACTCGATGCATCAGGTTATATAGAAGGCGTATTTTTAAAATGATTTTGATAAAAATTTAATTTTAATTGACCCACAAACTTACCCGATAATATCTTTATTGTGGAATAAAAAATATGAACATTGTACAGTACCGGTTTGTAAAGAACCAAATTATGAGATCAATTATTGGTTTGTTTTACGTGTTTAAACGTAATGATGATTTTCGAAAAAATTCGAATATCAAATCTAAAATTTCCTTTCATTCGGATTTTAAATGATACCTGGACAAATTCATTTATAAAAAAACAACTTTTTAAGTTTTCTAAACTTACCAGAAGAATTGATTTTCCATTGCACAGTTTTACAATCTAATTAGACTATGGTCCATAGAGAATCTCAGGGGATCCACTTTTGACATCTTAATCTTCAACCTGTATCCGCACCATCAAGACATGGTTGGCCCAAGTGGGACCAAATTGGACATCTCAAAAATGGTTGTGTCCATGTCAATTATTCTGGTAACAACTTATTAGTATGATAGTTATCTGTGGTTTTCATTAGCTCAATATTTATCGAATGGGGGATTTTGAAAAGGATAAATTTTTCCCATTTGGTCGAGCAATTGAGAAGAAAATTGTTAGATAAAAAACAAAGTTGTGAATTTTTTTATGAATGCCTTTTCTTCTCTTGCAAAAAACAAAAGATACTTATGTTTAATTTTTATGTCAATATTGTCGAAAACGGGGAAGCAGCTAACTACTTGTAGATATGTGGTTGGCAAGCTCTATTGTACCTTCAAATATAGAGAAATCACATCCGATAGCATCACAAGTTGCTTTTCTTGGTGGTTTCAAACAACATCACATGGAGTGATGGCTTGCATAATAATAATAAAAGAAAAAACTTAGGAAACCAAATTTGATTTTAAAAAATTGGCAAAACATCAGTCAAGTCCCAAATCTATATAATCATTCTCGATTGAGTCCAAAGCATGTAGATTTTGTCAATTAGGTTCCAAACGTTTTAAGGAATTCTCAATCAAATCTTTTTATTAATCTTCGCCAATATAGTTGTCAAATTGTCTCGAAATCAATGCCATAATAGTGTATAAATATGTACATTAAATAGAAAATGATCATGTATGTTAATTTTTTCATCGAACTTTCTTCGAATCAAAAGAACATGATTGAAAAATATAAAACACCTTTATAACTTAATATATAAAATTTATAAGTTTAGAGTGTAATTGAGAATGAATATATAGGTTCGAGATGAAGTTTTCTTTAAAAAAAACAAAAAAAACTTTTAAATGAAGTCAAATCTATAAAAACTTTTAGAGAAATGAATGGATATATAGATATGGGATGAGGTTTCCCCACCCCTCCCCCTCCCAAAAAAAATAAAAAAGTTCAAATGAGATCGGATTGTCTTCACTGTTGCCTCTATTTGGTTGTTGTTGATGGTAGTTGTTATTATTGTCTTTATCTCTAACTATGGTCGCTGGTGTTATCGTTGTAGGAGCTTGTTGTCTTTGTTGCGGTGGTTCTTATTGATGTAGTTAATGACATCAAATCTTATTACAATTGACTAGGGAATGTAGGTTGCTAGTAAAAGTCATTGTTCTTGCTTGGTGGTGTTCTTGGTTATATGGAAGTTATGTTTGGTGGTACGGTATTTATTGTTTGATGAAAACTGAATAACCGAATTGAATTGTATCGAAATATCAATTTTGATGCATTTTTTTAGAAATTAAAAAAAACCTAAACCAAAATAATTTTGGCTTTTGGGTTTGGTTTTTTTAAAATTGATTAAATCGAAAAATCGAAATTTTTTTAAGTCGGACCACTCACTGCATCCATTATTCCCAAATTGAAAAACCCATCTCCCCCAAATCACAATCCCTAAACCTCCCTTAGTCCCCCATCCATTCCGGGCTCCACCCCTCCTCTCGCAAGTGCAAGTGTGCAACTGCAGCCTTCCCTCACTTACCCACCTTCTTCCTCCTCCTCAAGCAACCCTCGACTGTCGACCACCTCCTCCTTTTTCACAATCGACAATCTCTCAAAGATTTCATGATACATCCCTCGGTCCCTCCTCTTCCAATTTTCTACTCTTCTCCCACTCTCATGTTTTTAAGACTTTCAGTTCATGATGAGTCATGCTTACTCCCAATGAATCGAAGTGTTTTTGTTTTTCTTCTTTAGATTTTCATTTTTTTGGCATTATGTTTCACATGCTACGGGGCGATTCATACAACCCATCTATAGTCCTAGAATCCCGGTGGCGGGAATGAGCTATGATTGTTAAACCATCTTATTGTCTATAACACAACATGGGTCACCAACTGGATGCATTTTATGGGTATTGGTAGTTGGAATTGGAACCGCATTTATGTGAATTATGATGTATAATTTTGATATAAGACTCAAACAAATAGATTATTGTAATTTTGACATATAAAACTCGAACAAATAGATTATCATAATTTTTTGATCTAGCCGGATGGTAATGCTATGTATCACCGATTCAATGATTTTTTTAACCTCCGAAGGCGAAACAATACACCTTGTTTCTTTATTTTCAAATCCATTTTGTTGATAAATTAAGGTTTTATATGCAAATCAATTGCGCAGGTGTGGTGTATTTCATAAGGAAGAGATGCTAATAGCCCTAGAAACTAGAACGGTACTTTTTATGGTTACCGCACATAAGTGTGGCTATGAATTGGAGTTAATCTTTATCCTTTTGTCATTTAATTCATATGGTATGGATTGATAGATGTCATGTTTATATTGCTAAGCATGCTAATGTTATGAATTAGAGACCTCTATGTCACTACTCGAACGCATGCACAAATGCACTTCCTCCCGTAGCTGCGTACGTGCTCTCTCTGTCTCTGCTACGAATTTGGATATACACAAAATAGCAAAGGCATTGGTAGATTTTCTATCATCTCAAATTCAAGGCTTTTAGAGTGGATCATTTATTATTTGTTTATCTATCAAGGCCTTTGCTATTTTTTTTAGCGCAACTTAGTTTCCTAGCTAGTAGTTCACAAAGCAAAAAAGAAACTCACTCTAAATAGAGATCTTAGGAAATTTAATAGAATTAACAATTTGTAGAAAAAATAAAAAATAAAATAAAATAGACAAAAACTGATTTATAGAACACGAAATCGAAATATTTTGAAACCAAATTGAAAAATCGAATAACATGTCAATTTGATTTCGGTTATTTTTTAAAAAAATTAGATTAACCGAAAACTATTCAAAATATTTCGAAACCGAACCGAATAACCAAATAAACACACCTAGTTGATGGTGAAGATACTGTAGGAGTTGTAGGTGGTTGAAGTAGTGGTGAAAGAGATAGAAGATGTTGGATTGGGACCGTGTTTTGTTTTTTTTTTTTTTTAAAATTAGTTCTTGTTTCAATTTTTAAATTTGTGTATGATGTATCGTGGCTGGATTTATTTTTTTGAAATTTCTTGATTGTTCTTGTTTTGATTTTGAAGTTTGTGTATTGTGTTGTTAAAAAAAAAAAAAAGAATTGTAATTTTAATTTAATTTGTTAAGTTTTTTTTTTTTTTTAATCATGGATTTGAAATAAAAAAGACATCCAAATACACAAGCAACCCTAGACTGTTTTTTTTTTTTTTTTCTTTGCCCTTTATTTTTCATGAAAGAAGAAGAAGAGGAAAAACTAATAAAAAAGGTTAATGATATTTTTTGAATACGTATACTTTTCTATGTATATATAATGTTCATGCATGACATGTGTCAGTAGACTGAAATTGGTTATTTGTCGTGGGGTTGGAAACCATGAATACCAGGCAAAAAAATAACTTAACAAAAACCATTTTAAAAGTAGAGGAAAAATATAAAACAAATAAAAATAAAGAAAAAAATAATATAAAATTAAGAGGAGAGGGATCTATTTAAGTTTTTGACCAAATAAAATCACTACTGTATATATTTAAGCAACGGGCAAGGATTAACTTTTATGCCATCTCAGTCTATAAATATCAAATTAGTATAGGTCAAAATTGTAAAAATTTTATGAAGTAAACAAATTCATATAGTTGTAAAACTTTGAATAAATAAACGATCGGTATTAACATAGTGATGTCTCTCAGTGAGTAAAAATCATGCATATTGAAGTTTAGAACAGATTTATGGAAACAAACGTAGCAAGGCCATTTTGCTAGTATGACATAAATTGATAAACACAAAAGTTGAAGTTATTAAAATTGCTTTTTGATTCTTGACGTGTGAGTTTTTGCACTTTTGCGATTCAGAACATAATAAATGTGCTAATTCCTTTTTCTTTTTGGTTTACATGAATGGTTTTTGTCTTTGTATTTGTCTTTCTCAAGCAAAATAATATAATTTTTGTTCATAACAATGTATTTTATACTTTGTTCGAATTAATAAAACAACTTTAAATGTGATTTTAAAACTAAGTATATCTTAGATGCATGATGCAGATAGTATTCCTGAACTAAAATCTAATATATATTCATACATAATTTATTTATTTTGAAATTGTTGATGTAAAACTAATCAATTGTTAGTCTAATGGTAATAGAGTTGATTTCTAAATGAATTTTATGTCAATATATAGAATTCCAATATTACAGTCACATTTGTTAGAAGGAGTTAAATTTTATTATTTACTCTTCAAACATAATTAGTTTTATCTCGTAATGTAAAATGAAAATATCCGAAAAAAAATATTGGTGTAAACATATATTTGGAAAAAAAAGAGAAAAAAACAAAACACACAAATGTAAAGCAGAACTAACTAGGCCATCCGTCAATAATAAAATTTTATAATGGCAAATAAGTTTTTTTTTTTTTTTTTTTAATAGAATATAAGGAGGTGTTTGATAACCTAATTAAGTAGCTTAAAAAATTAAGTTCTACTACTTAATATAAAAATCTTGTTTGATAACTTAAATGATTTCATATTAAAACTTTAAGTTCGGTTAAAATCTACTTAATCGGATAAGTTAAAATTTTTAACTTATCTAATTAAGTTAAATATCTAAAACATACTCTCTCTCTCTCTCTCTCTCTCTCTCTCTCTCTCTCTCTCTCTCTCTCTATATATATATATATATATATATATATATATTTAAAAAATAAAACATCAACGTTATAAAATTTTATTCCAAAATTCATATATTAAAAAATCAAATTTATTAAAAAATAAAATTATATCAAAAATTAATTTAATGAGAATTTTAGTAAGAAAAAAATAATTGAAAAAAATAAAATTTAAACAATAAGAGTAATATAATCGGATACATATATTTAAACTAAAATCTTAAAAAATATCATATATATTCTATCATCTTCAAACATGTTTATTATATTCGATACTTAATTTTCGATAAATATCAAACGAACTTGTCATGAACATATTCAAGTACTTAATGATTCAACGACTTAAAATTTAGTATTTAATTTTCAGTTTTATCAAACATCACCTAAGTCTCACTTGCTGCAATTTTCAGTTAATGATAGATTTAAATGTTCATGAATGATTTTAATTATCTTTAAAAAAATATTAAATATCGATTTTGATATAATTAGGTTCGGATTTGGATATGAAAGAACATAACTACCTTTCAATATTTAGAAACCGAAACTAACTAGGCTAGGTAGAGGAGAGAAGAGAAGGTGATGGAAGAGAGAAGAAGGAAACGAAAACAAACCAACCCGGACCCGGTCAGATCAGTCCCATTATTGATTAATGTATGTAGGTGAACCGTGTTTGTTAAATTACAAAAAAAGTTCCCCCATCCGCCTCCTTTTTTCCTCTCTCTCTTGCCTCAAAAAAAGAATTTTTTTTTCTAAATCTCAAATGTAAAAAGAAATTCCACACACTCACTCGGTAAGCATCTCTCTCTCTCGTTCCCTCTCTCTGTTTGTTTCCATAGAAAAAAAGAGGTTTATTTATTTAATGAAGGAAATGAAAAAGCAAAATGGAAGTCTCAGTCTCTTGATTACCAATCCATCACTCAATCTCAGCCGTCTCTGATTTCTGCTTCAAAAAGTTTCATTTCTTTTCCAGGGAATCAAAACAGAGATTTTGGGGATTTGGAGTGAGAATTGGATTGAAATTGGTGGAATTGAGGGTGTGCTTGGCTGTGAATGCTTGCTAAAGTGTTTAGGAAATGAGCAAAGAAAGGCCTCCTGAGCCTCTTGATTTCTTCATTTGGACTGTTGAGGTATAATTCTCTTCATTTCTCCTTTACTTTTTGCTTTTTAGTTTTTATTGGATCGTGTGTTAGATCCTATTACTACTACCATAATTGTAATTACTGCCCAGATATTAATACTAGTAAATATATTGTTATTATTATAACAGCTTCTAATTTCGGTGATTTTGGCTGTGATGGAAGTCAGTGATTGTGATGATTTACTGCGCAGTTTTTTTTTTAATATATTTTTTATGGGGTTAGGTTGCAGTTTGTGAAAAATGAAACTGGTGTTTGATTTCTTTCTTCTTGGTGGGTTTAGTCAATTGGAACAGGGTGTCAGCTTATACGTTTCAGTTCTTTTTGCTGTTTAAAAACAAATGAAAATGAAATAAGAAAAAAGAAAAGAAAGAAAGAAAGAGAGTGTCATCAGTCAAATCTTTAATTATGAACTAGCAATGAATTTGGGGGACTTCTTATTATGTCAGCTAGTTAGGTTCAAGTGCAATTCGCAAGGATTCTGTAATAGAATTTTGCTTCAGATTGACATCATGTGGTTGTGGGTATCTATTGTAAGCTAAGCTTCTTTTAATTCTTCATTTCCAACTATTTTGACAAACAAATTGAATTCAAACCTGATTTAGTTTGTAGTGATCAAGTCAATATCAATTTATTTTTGCTCAGTTCAGCTGTTAGGAAGAGTAATATAAATGCATCGAATTGAACATAATTTTCAATGCTTTAGCCGCCCCTCCCCCTCAATTCACGGGAGTCCTTATGGTGTTTTGGCGATCAACTTGTTTCTCAGTTATCTTGTTATTTGCATGAAGTACTGAATCTTTTTCTGAATTTTCAGTTTGTTAAATGGTGTTGAACAATTGTGGTTGCTGTCTTCATCCTTTAGTTAGTTAGTCTTATACTTTTTTTTTTCAAATTAATATGTGAATCTTTATGTTGCCACTGTATAATGGTTGTTTTATAAATCATTTACTCTCTTGTAGTGGTCATAGAATACCTATTTGCAACATGGCTTCAATTTTGTTCTGAAATTTAGAGATTGAAATACTCCAATTTGGGCACTTTAGTGGATTGGACATCATTTCCTAGGTTATTTGTTGTCTTTGGACTATGTGTAGGTGACAGTGGTTATTTGTTTCCTCTTTTCACATGCGAATTTTTGTGAAACACACACTGCTTGGTGAAAAACTTTGTTTTGTTTTCCTAGGTAACTGTTTTCTATCCATCTAGAACCAACAAGCAACCCACTGTGTTACATAAACACACATTTCCTGACTTATATCTGCACGCTGTGCAACTTTGAATAACTTGTATTGCATGCCTCTCATTCTTTTTTTTTTTTTGGGCTAGGATGTTGGTTTGTGGTTAGAAGAAATAAATCTTGGTAGCTACCGCCAAATATTCAAAGAAAATGGTGTGAACGGAGAATATCTGGAAGGCATGTCCATGTTCACAACTGAACAGATTTTAAGGTTTATAAGGCGGTGTCACATGAAGTGGGGAGACTTTATCACCCTGTGTAAGGAGCTCAGACGGATAAAAGGTTCTCCCTCTCTCTCCAAAAACTTATGTGCAGAGTGCAGACAGACACACACATTCCCCATGCATGTGCTGGCATGTGTAATTCTATCCTAGTTCCCATGTCATTGAAAAGTTAACCCACTATTTGACAACTTCTATATAATGTCCTCTTTGGTGATTCAATATAGACCTCATCTAGTTCTTATGCTCCTTCTATTGTTAAAATATGGGATTTCTTCATGGATTTCTGCATCATGATGCCATGGCCAACTTCAACATCCACTAACTTGTTTTATGCATGTAACTTAAAGAGTGAATGCATTAAATTTCTGTTACGGTGGGTTTTGAGTAACCTAAGACCAGAGGAATACCTTTAGCAAATGCTCAATGCCTATCTTTGCATGTTTGCCACTCCTACCTTTGTGGAAAATGGATCTCACAAATTTAAAGAAAAAATGTGATGGGTGCTTTGATGTTTCTATATCTACTTTTGAAGCCTTCTTTTATTTACTATTCTTGTGCTTGAATGAAGGGAAGTTGATTGAGATAAAAGGTTCCAAAGGAATTTTGCCTTTTTTTCTATGTTGAACAAAAATATTGGTTACTCATTCATGCTGTTTTTCAATGACATTAAAATGAAGTTGATTCTCTTACTTTAATGGGGTATCGAAATGGACTGACGGTTCACGCTTCATACGTTTCATGTTTACAAATATTCTGAAAATTAAGCATGTGAAAACACTCGCTGTTTGTAGCATGCTTTATTAAACATCATAATGAAACCCTAATACTTTGAATTTAATTTTCTTTCCTTGTCAGACATAGCTTAAACCAAGCAATGGATGTACTTTTGAAATAAAAATGGCATGCTCATTCATCACACGTATCCACATCTTTGATTTTTGTTGCATTTGAAACATACACATCATTTTGTTGTGTTCTTCAAAGAATCATAACTGTTCCCTGTTAGCTCAAGTATGTTTTCTACATGCTTAGTGCTCAACCAAGTAACGAATTTATTTCTAGAATAAACATTAGGGCATCCATTAATTCCATCCACCCAATCATTTTAACTGAATTGAACTTGGGTGAATACTAATTGACTCTTAACTAATTGGGATTGAGACTTAATCGAGCTAAGTTGGGTCAAATTTAGTAATACACTTTAGGAATGTGGTTAGGTTGGCAATTGTCTTTTTCTTCCCTGTCTCTCTGAATTTTGATTTGATTAAGCTGCATGCTACTGACACCAAATGAATTCCAGTGGCTTGCCTTAAAGGAGAGCAAAAAGTTCGCCGGCCATGGTGGGCTCCATCTTGCCTCTCTGCAGTCTTTGACAAGGTTGCAAAGCGTAACAGACAGTCACGAGTTGTTTCCTTGAAGCTGGAACCATGATGCAAGATGGTATATGTATGTATTTGTAGTTTTTGTTTTTGTTTAGGGAACAGAAAGTAGTGTACCCAACTTTTGTCAGGAATGTGGCAAGGTGTTGCTAAAAGTTCTTTGTTGGAGAACTTTTCCTTTCACATACAAGCTCTTTCATATATTTATTTCTGTTGATTTGTAGTTGTATTTTCTGTTTGATCTTTGGAGCAGAATACGTTGATGAGTGTCGCATCAAAGAAATCATTGTAATATGGATCAGTTGTGAAGAAATTATCTCCTGGAAAGTCTCTACATAAATATTATAGCTTTTATTTTTCCCTTTGGATTTTTACGTTCCTGGCTGGTCGGCCTATGTTTCTGTGGTCTTCTCTTGCTAGTGTGTAATTTTCAGAACTCTTTATGCTTACCTGCGAACAGTGATGTATGATGGATATCGCATTTTACTGATACAGAAAACTAAGTTTAGCATTATGGAACCCTTAATACTTATAATGAATGGATCACTCCTGTCATTGATCATACTTTTGGATATAGCGCTTGCAGGGTTCTTCTGAGCTGGGAAGGTTTTCCATAATCTTGTGTGTAGCAATGGAACTACATTCAAGCGTTGGAAATCAAGTGGAGAACCAATGTTTCCTTGGCAGGAAGAAAGAACTCATTGTATCTATCCAGAAGTTTGAAGATCTGAGAAAAATCCCTTACTATATCCGAAATGCTCTTTAGAAAGAAGAATAGTTAAATTAAGAAATTAAAGAAACATTATTAAGAAAGAAAATTTGAGCGAAATTAATATCGTTCATATACTAAAAAAATATTATAAATGAAGCTTAAAAGAAAATTGATAGCTAAAAGATTATATAATTTTTTTGTTAAAAGTTAATAATTTGAAAATGTTATTTTCTAGCTAATCTTACATTGCACGATCAAATACCGAAAAATTAGTTTCTACCTCATTTTTCAAAATGCAACCAAATATTAGAAAGTAATTTATCATCTCGAAAATGAGTTTTCTTGAAATTTATTACTCTCTAAAAAGAACTCACTTTCTCAACCTAAATGGGTGACAAATCAAATAGATTCGACTGATGACTGGCCTTGCTGTAAAACGAGAGACATGGACTCAAGTTGTGCACAAGTAGTGTCGATGCCATAATTTCAAGTTTGAAAGATGGAGACACAAAATTGGCTTGTTGCTTTTGTTCAAGGTCCTGCCAAAAGATGCGTCATGCCTTGAACCAGAAGCCGTAGCAGTGGCACCGTCATGTTTAAAACAAGTGACTCGTTGTATTTTGCTATTGTCCTCTTCGCTACCATTCCTACATAATCTTCCTAATGCAAAGCGTCCAACCCTGAAGGGCATTTGCATCGTCAATTCTGGGCTGAGGTCAGCTTGGATGATTGGGAATAAACGAAAAAAATGCTTGGTGTGTGGTTCGCCATGCTACGAAGTCCCAGCAAATGATCTTAATATTGAGCTATGGGTACGGGTTTCTTTTTATCTGGTTGGGGGGTTTTATCAAACACTTGATGACATGATGAAAGTAAATGTGAACTGATTAATTGCTCAATACAAGAAGGGTGGTTTTGTTTTTATAGAATTGAATCAAAGACAGCAAAATGTTAAAGAAATGAAATAAGCATGTATAACACAGTTTTAAATAATGATCGTTATGTTATATAATGATCGTAAACTCATTATATAATGATTTCGAGTATCTCATTATTGTTATTTTAGTATTATAATAAACAGTAATTCACAATAGCTACCATCATCCTTTTTTAACATCGGTAATTTATAACGATCATTATGTTATATAATGACCGTAAACTCATTATGTAATGATTTCAGAATATTTCGTTATTATTATTTTAATATTATAATAAGTAGTAATCCACAATAGCTACCATCATCCTTTTTTAACCATCAGTAATTTAAAACTATGTTACATGGTACTTGTTCTGTTCAATCCACTTATAATCTTAATATTTTTTTTTAATTCTTAAGGCATTTTATTATTTTAGGTTTAAAAGTTAAGACTAATCCTTTGTTATTAGCTCGAACACATAAAATGGATATAATTAATAAAAAAAACTTTTTATATATAAAAAATTAAATTCAAAATCATTTTTTTAAAGCTACTAGATCTTCATAAATTCCCTCAATTTTAGTTTCCTGTATCCAAGGCTTGGATTAGATGGACTCAATCCGTGGGCCATCACGAAACAAAACTGTCTGAAACGCACAACTCCGGCCACTTTTCTCTTCCAAAATCAATTTTAGAACGGTCACCTTCTCATTTCTTTTTTACCAGTCTCACAAAAACCCATTAAAACCCTAAACCCTCCCTTTCTTTCTCTCCGAACAGAAAAAAAATAGAAAATGTTCTCTCCTGGAATAAAAAGATCGAGCAATCGGAAAGCAGCAACAGCACCACCTGATTCTCCAGTAACGCCCGTACCTGACCATAATTTAATCCCTAATCGCCCTAGCACCGGAACTCCCACTCCTTGGGCTCCTCGCCTCTCCGTTCTCGCCAGGTATTTCATTTCAACAATCAACTGCTGGTCATGTTACTTCTTCTACAGTTACTACTTTGGATTGGGTGGGACTGATATCATAAATTGCTCCAAAACGTGTTTCCATTTTACTTCTTCTCCTTTTTTATTTATTTTTATTAATTGGAGTGGTGCCATGTACGGTTCTCACTAGGATTGGGAATGGAAAGGGATTTTGATTCCTATCATTGTACAATTCACAAGAAATTAAGTACACTCTACTTTGAGTGGAAATAAGTCACTCCATTTCTCTGGCTGTGGTAAGAATTAATTACAAATGTGAAATTAGAAAATGAATTTTATTTGGAATTGGAATGGAAGTGTACTTCTTTTCCCTAGCTATTAAATGAGTTAGTAAGACAAATAATTTGATCATCAGAGCACACTCTGAATCTTAATTGCTTCATATTTGTTGTTGTTGTTATGTTGTTAGAACTCAACTGACGAACAAAAGTGATAAAAAAGTTAGCGATGTAGATCCAATTAAGCCAGTATATGTTGGAGAGTTTCCGGAAATAGTTCGTGATGAACAAGCCAACTTTCTGCGCAGCCACATTCATGGTTTGTAAACTTGGAACCAAAAAACTTTAACTGTTCTCAGCTTAGCTTCTTGAAATGCTATTATTTTAAATTTAATATGTTAATTTGCAGGTGATGCATCTATATCCGGTGGAATGGATAAGGAGACGTGTCTTTCTTGGATCATTTGCAGAAACAGGCTCTTTATCTGGAGTCACTTATCATCTTCACCATCAAAAAATTGTGTTGTTCTTGAACTTCCTTTGAATTGTTTAGTTGATGGAGCTAATAGCAAAAATGAGTATCATGGGACGAATTGGCTGCTTTGTTTTGTCAATTGGGATCGAACATCCAGGGAGAGGAATAAAGCTTTACGCATTTGCAAGTCTGCTGGTATAGTAATGTGTAACCAAAAAACTCGAGCTGTTATATACTGGCCTGACATTTATAATGAATGCGGATCTGCTCCTGTTACCAGTATGTTAGCTTCTGATGAATCAGAGGTGACTTCATCCCCTGTTGATGGGCAGAGCAACCCAGACAGGCAGTGGCAGCACTCTGCAATTAATTCAACTGGATCCAATTCTTTTAACTCTTTGATTGCTTCAGCTTTGCCTTCTAGCCATCATGTTTCTGTTGCCTTGGCTTGTAGTTCAAATGGTGAGCTGTGGCACTTTTATTGCGCCCCCACTGGCATTCAATGTCGGAAAGTGTATCAGGACATGGTAGATTTATCCTCCCACAGCAATGATAGTAGTCAATTTGTCGGGAGCAAGGGCTATCCAAGGTCGCTCATCTGGCGATTTTCGCCTCATTCCATGGAGGATTCTAATCGGCAGTTTTTTCTATTGACTAATCATGAGATACAATGTTTCAGTATAAGCTTTCATCCTGATGTAAATGTGTCAAGGATGTGGTCTCATGAAATTGTTGGCACTGACAGTGATTTGGGCATTAAGAAGGATTTGGCTGGTCAGAAACGCATATGGCCTCTAGATCTACAGGTGGATGACCATGGAAAAATCATCACAGTTCTTGTTGCCACATTCTGTAAGGATCGTGTTAGCAGTTCCAGCTACACACAATATTCTCTTCTGACTATGCAATATAAATCTGGAGTAAATGCAACCTCAGATGTACATGAAAGGGTTTTGGAGAAAAAAGCCCCAATTCAAGTGATAATCCCAAAAGCAAGAGTAGAAGATGAAGATTTCTTATTTTCCATGAGACTGAGAATAGGAGGCAGACCTTCAGGCTCAACGCTGATACTTTCTGGTGATGGAACAGCAACAGTCTCCCATTACTTTAGGAACTCTACACGTCTCTATCAGTTTGATCTACCTTATGATGCTGGAAAGGTTCTAGATGCTTCAGTCCTTCCTTCTACAAGTGATGGGGAAGATGGTGCATGGATTTTATTAACTGAGAAAGCTGGAATATGGGCAATACCAGAAAAGGCTGTTGTGCTTGGTGGAGTTGAACCGCCTGAGAGAAGCTTGTCGCGTAAAGGGAGCTCAAATGAAGGATCTACACAAGAGGAGAGAAGAAACCTCACATTTGCTGGCAATTTTGCTCCTAGAAGGGCTAGTTCTGAAGCCGGGGATGCTGGTGATAGGAAAAAGGCTGTCATGGGTGGGATTGCACGCCGAACTTCTCACGATGAAGAATCAGAGGCTTTACTTGGTCAGCTTTTCCATGATTTTCTGTTAACTGGGCAAGTTGATGCCTCGTATGAAAAGCTTCGAAGTTCTGGGGCTTTTGAAAGGGATGGAGAAACAAATGTTTTCACCCGGACAAGCAAATCGATTATTGACACCTTAGCTAAACACTGGACGACCACCAGGGGTGCTGAAATTCTGTCTATGACCATGGTATATAACCAACTCAAGGATAAGCAGGAAAAGCATCAAAGATTTCTACAATTTCTTGCTCTA